CTCTTTTAAGAAGAAACCAGCTGAAAACCAGTTCAGTGAGCCAGAGCCACAGAACAAGACAGAAAGTCGAGCCGAGAGTTGGAATTCTCCATTTCTGCTTCCTCCGCTGCTTGGTGTGGCCTTTTCTCAACAACAGGTCGCAACCGCTGGGGTGAACAGTCACCCCATTGCTCAGGTTGCTCTATTTTTGTGGATTTGTCCAATGCACTTTCCTGCTCTCGAGCTTCTCCCCACGCAGTACGCACGTTCTCCAGCCTCCTGTCCTTTGAAGCCGCAGCTGAGGCCGACAATAGCGCAGTCTCTGCATCACTGGCAGGATGTTGCTGTAAAGGTGACAGAACTGACTTCTCCATGACTAAACCTAAAGCTGAGAGCACAGGAGAGCCGACCTTGGAAAATTTATCTCATCCTGTTTGGAGTCACACAGAACCTTTTGCCAAATCTCTTAATATAAAATATTTCACGTCACGGATTGACAAAGTTCCTTTCTTACCCTTCCTTCCGTCCACACCAAATCCGATAAGTGACTGCTCTCCTCTCGATGGGAGAGAGCTCAGAGGATGAAGATCCGGTCACTTTATGTGCTAAGGACAGAAGTCCCAGATTTTTACTGTTGAAACAGGAAGCAGTGTCAGATCCTCCTGGAGAATTCTATTGTTACATTAGCACATACGACCTTTGCCCAGGGTGAAAATGGCAGAGGGCATCTCTGCCCCACGCAGTTCAAAGAAACTGGAGATGAACGATGCAAAGGAAATTGCAGCTTTCCACAGCCTATGGCAGCACTGCCTCGTTTTCTTTTTTTGTCCAGTTTCTGGGTTTGTTCAGTTTGATTTTTGGATGTCAGGGGCAGATGCAATATCAGACTTACTTTACATTCCGTGTCGGAATTTTATTCTAATTCAGCATCAAACTTTTCAACTCAAAGGCACCTAGATTCTTCTCCATTGCTACCAGAACCACAGGGCAGCCAGCGTTCCCACTCTGTCTCACACACAGGGCCCAGGTGCACAACAGCCAGCCAGATCTGTATCGGCCTTCAGTCTCCTCCAGCCTCCTCATCCTCTGTTCTTTCCTACAGCTTCTCGCCGCACACCTCAGCCAGCCCCACGCCAAGTTTGCCCAGCCTGCTCCCCTGCTGCCAGACGTGCTGGGCTCCATCAGCAGCCACGGGCACGTGAGCGGCT